AAATTCAAAAATATATTTAATTTATAATCCTATTTAATTCAAATATTTTTAATAAAATATATTAAACATAAATAAGATATTTACTTATTTAGAAATATCAGAAAATGACTTCTAGGTGCCTTAAGACAACTCTTTTCTTCGATATTAATAAATATTATAATAATTTAAATAAAATTAAATTATAATTTTTTTATCATAATATTTAATTTTAAAATACCAGAATAAGACATCTAGTTGTATTAAGACTACCATTTTCTTTGATATTGAAAAATAAATATATATTAAAATATGATAAAAACATAATTTATGTAAAATCAAATTAAGATTTAATATAAATTATTATTTATTATATATATTTATATGACTATATAATAATAAAAATAATATTTAAATATAAACAAGTAAAATTAAAACATAAATAAATAATAATAAAAATAAAATTAGAACTATATATTTAAAAAAAAATAAAACTTTATAATAAATGAAAATATTTAAAATTAGTGACTAAATTATAATCTAATAAAATTAAATACCTAATTCGTAATTAATTATTTAAAATTACAGGGATTAAACATGCTATTTTCCCTATTTATTAATTTGGTGACTAAAATAAAATTATATAAAATTCAAATATCAGATTAAAATAAATTAAAAATATATACTCGAGATTAAAATATTAATTATTAAAACTAAAAGACTAAATACGTATTTTATCTAAAATATTTATAATTACGGATAATGGCTAAAATATAAATAAATAAAATTTAGAGACCAAATTAAAAGGATTATAAATTTGATTAAGTGACTAAAATATAAAACATATAAAATAGAGGGACTACGGACAGGGTTTAAGATTTAAAAATTACACAAATAGCCCTCCCCAAAACGACGTCGTTCGGGAAGGGCTATTTAAGCCCGAAACGGCTGGCCTTTCGGGCCAGCTCTCTCATTTCTCACTTTATCTCCTCTCTCTAAACAGAGAGAGTTTAAACTCTCTCTCGTCTCTCTCTAGCTTCCCTCATCAGAAGGAAGCCGGCTACCGGGCGGCAGCCATCTACCGCCATAATTCTCACCGCCGGCCACCGCATCCGGTGGCCGGAAAATTTTATTTTTATACCATAACGTAGATCGGACCGTCCTAATGACGGTTCCGGTGTTCCTTTCTCCTAAATAGCTCCTGATCGGAGCAAATCTAGAAAAATACCTTCGATTTTCGAAGGTTTTTGGTGACGTTTAGAGGCTGGTGGTGACTCCGATTAAGGCGTTGTCTTCCCCGGTAAGTTTCTCTCTGTCTTCTCCTTGCTTATTTTGGTGTTTGTGGTTGCTGGTTTGTTCGTCTTTTCTCTTGTTTTTTTTTTCTTCTCTCTCTGTTGGTTGCTGTGGTTTTCTTCTCTCCTCTTTTTTTCTTTGCAGGTTGTGAATGGCTTTATAGCCATCACCGGTGTGGCCATCGGACCGGGTAAAAGAGTGGAGTCTGGTGAGTCACCGGACTTCCAGTGGTGACTCACCGTTGGGGCGACATGTGTGCGGCTGGAGTAGCGCTTCTGGAAGCTTTCGACGAGACGTGACAGCGGTGGAGATGGTGGGAGTAGCTGCGGCGGCCGCGTGGCCCTAGGGTATCATCACCCTAGGGTTTGTGCTGGATGAGTGTGGGCCGTTGGATCTCTCAGATCCAACGGCTGTGATGATGAGGCGGCTAGGGTTAGAGATCAAACCTTAATCTGGTTTTAGAGTTTAGTTGGGCCATCTGGATTTGTAATTGAGCCGGATAATCTGGGTATGTTTGTAATAATAATAATATTAATAAAAATAATATTGATAATAATATTTATAATAATAATAATAATATAAATAATATTAAAAAAAATGAAGAAAAAAATGAGTATCTTCAACCGCGATACCCACAATCACCGCAATAGTATTCACTATGTCCACAATCGCGATAAATACAAAGCAACCAAAAATGCTACCGCAACTACAATTTAAATCCATGCACTCTTACATTCATTTTCCGACACCATGTTGAAATAGATATAACTTGTAAAAATATCGAATATCGGGGAAATTAATTTCCTTCTTCTTTTTGCAGCTACTGGAAACAGTAGTGGATGATTATTGTTTTTCGCTTTAGTATTTTTCCAGTTTTCGTTGACTCAACATGGAAGCTTTTTGATATTTCTTGGCTATCATAGCATTCTTCGATTATATGTGTTTAGAGGGATTTTTAATGGAATCCACTCATATTATTTGAAAATTGACATTGAGAAAATGCGCAATATGTGAATTAGGAGAATCAGTGAAGCCAAACAATGAGCTATGAGATTGTTCTCTTTTAAGCTATTGAGATGAGGTCAAGCTGAAATCGATGAGAATTTGGTCGAAGATGGGGACTCGGGACTTGACTTTTGAGTGCCTTGATTTTTGTTAGATTTATTGCATGGCTGCTAGGCATGTTATAAGCTGAAATTACAGAGGACAACTTTATATTTGGTTCAATGCTATTCATCTTGAAAGTGAAACGTGATTTGATAGAAATTTATAGCCAAATCTGGTGGTTAGATCCTTTCTGTAGATGAATGAAACCTGGCTTCAGTTATTTGTGCCATAATGTAACAATTGGACTTTGATGTTCACCTATTTCGAAGTTGCTTATGCATATCTATAAAAAAGATTTACGGCTTTGAGTGCTTTGATAAAAAGCTTTTTATTATGTGTTAGACTTATGGCAGCCGATGATCCTGTCCTCAATCGTCGCTGCATGAGTGCTTTCACAATCGGTCATCTTTGTCAGTTTCGTTTCATTGTCCGCCATCTTCATCTACAACTCAGATCTGAAACAGATCGGAAGTTATTTTTTTTTCAGTTGCTCATCGATTTTCCAGATCTGGAAATCTTCAAAATTATTTTCTTCCTCAGTGATGGCTTTGCTTTTTGCCGTTTGTTGTTTCTCCTGTCATCAGTATCATTTTTTATCAGCTGTGTTCTATCACTGCCGATGAGCCATACGGTCGGTTTGCAGATCTGGAAGCTTCAGATCTCTGATCCGATGAATGTTGTTGCTTCGTTTTTTTTTCTCGTCTGCTTAGTTTGGTTACATTGGTTGTTTCGGCTGTGTTATTGAATCTGGTTCGTTGGAGTTCATTTCACCGTTCGTTGTCGGCGCTTCAGTTCAAATTCGTTCCTTTGCTTATCTCTTGATTTGTCACCATTCCAACCAATCAGCCTCATCTAGAAAAGAGGAGGTGAGATCGTTGCATTAGTGCCTTCTATTTTAAAAGCTCTTTTTCATGTATATATGATATATCTAGAAAAGAGGAGGTGAGATTGTTGCATTAGTGCCTTCTATTAAGTAGATGGAGCTGGAATATTTCGTTTAGGAGGAATTTATTTGATTGAGAAAGGGCTTAATGTGCTGCGATGTTTCATCTACTTAATAATTTTGTAGGTTAAACCTCAAACGCGGATTGGATAAATTGGCTTGGGTATAGTGACGGGCTATATAACCCTTTTTCGGGGCCCTAGCGATTCAGTTGAGTGTAATTGGAAGAAGGTTACTTGGCTGGGAATTGCACCGCTCAAAATTGGGGCTTTCGTTTGTCGGGTGCTTCACCGGAGGGTTCCAGTTAGAGTGGAACTCGAAAAAAGAGGAGAATCTTTGTTGTCAGATTCTAATTGCCCTTTCTGTTTGTTGCATCAGGATTCAATAGAACATTTATTCATCACATGTGATGTTTCCTGGAAAATATGGGGGGCTTTCCTAGCTTTGTGGGATGTTTTGTCTGCTGCCTCTAATGATCCGAAAAGCTTCATGTTGGCGTGGAGTGAGGTTCTCCCGGATAGCTTTCATCAGAAGATAGTTTGGTCCATCCTTCCTTTCGCGATTATATGGACCATATGGTTGCATAGGAACGATCTGGTTTTCAAAAGAAAATGGTGGATGTGCTGCAAATGGTGTTTCTTGTGAAATTCCGTGTGGCCTGCTGGTTGAAATCTAAATCTCCAGCTGCTCCGTTCAGCACGGAGGTGTTGATGGAAGACCTTACTCTCGCGGATGACGCTTTAGTGACGAATAAGCCCGAGCATCCCCATTCTTCTTGGCTGCCACCCACACGGGGGATTCTTAAATTCAGATGTGGACGGTAGTGCTGGAGGTATTGTGGGTTCTTCGCGATCATACTGGAAAGTCGCTCTTAACCTTCTCGGTCCCTATCGGGAGTGGATCCTCGGTATTAGCGGAAGTCCTGGCTGTAGAGTATGCAATAAAGGTGTTCATGGATTCGGAGTGTTACAAAACCTATGGTATGATAGTGGAGAGTGATTGTGCTGTGGTGGTGAATTGGCTCTGGAATATTTCAATCATTCCCACTGAGTGGACTGCTTTGATACAACCCATTGCTTCTTTGTTACTCCAAGAAAACTTTGTGGTTAGATTTACTCCAACGCGGTGCAACTCGTTGGCTGATCTTTTGGCTAAACAGGCAATCGATTAAGAGCTGAAGTAGGTGTAGATAAGAGGTGTTTAGTGGTTTTGGTATATTACTACTCGGTCTCTGCGTAGGTGGGATCCATTTAGCTGCTGGGTTTGGTATAGAAGGTTTTAGCCAGAGGGCGTTTCGCTTTGCAAGTTTTGGAAGAGGATAGCAAATTTTCTTTGATCATCATGTTTTGCTGTTTGTTGCTGGTTGTTTTATTCATGTAGGTGGTCTTCGAGGCGTTTAGCCCAGGCACCATTTCTTCTCGTATGGCTGATTTGTAGTTCCCGTCTGTCATTGTTTTGGGTGTACTCTTTTTCCTCCTCTTTGAGCTAGGGGGTTTTTTAATGAGACCCCTAACAATGTTTGTTTCTTTTGCACTTAATAAAGTTCCTACCTTTCAAAAAAAAAAAAAATTATCACGTTTTCAATGACATTGAGATATCTGATGTGCATACATAAAAGATTTTACACATAGTATTAATTTTGCACTTCTGGTTAATCATCCCGAGAATTCGCAATATCACAATGATTGCTGATGAAATTGACAAAATTAGATTTGTTGGTCCTGTGTGTTCGCTTTATAGTTTCGAGTTCTTTGTTATTGAGGATATTGAACTGGTCTTCACGAGCAAGATTATACTTTCTGAGAGAACCAACAACATTTTGAGAACTTAGAGGCTGATTTTGTTCGTTCACATCATTGAGGATGATTGTTTCGGTGCTATCGGTTAGATTCCAGCGTTTGTTGAACCATCCAGTGATGCGTGTGAGATATCGTTTTGTGAATTGTGTTATGAGCTGTGGTTTTAGTTTGGGCTTGTTTTTTCTTCATTGCTTTTCAAAGCTCCACTTTCAGATCATCAAATTCTTCATTGTGTTGGTTATTAGTCAAGTGTAATCTGTTGGGCCAGCTGTTGCAAGCTATCGTCTGTTGCTCGAAAAGTTTCACTCTTCTAGATTACTTTTCTTCTACGCAATCTTTTTCTTTACATATATCCCTTTTATTGCGTTGTCACAGACACTTGCGGCCACATTTTTCATCCTGGTGGATTTATGTAACATGGCTCCCAGATGGTGCTGTCACTGTTGAAGATGATGCCGCTGCAGATGAGACTAGTGTTGTCGAAGAAACATCTTCACCCATTTCATCGTTGCTTCAATCATACAAAGAAGCTTTGGCAAGTAATGATGAGTCAAACGTTGCTGACATAGAAGCATCTTTAAAATCCATTGAAGACGGGAAAATTGACTTTGAAAAGAAAATGGCTTCTCTGTTAGAAGAGTTGTTGACGGGGAAGGAATGGTTCTTAGGATTAGTGCAGACTTTGACAACTTTCGCAAGAGGATGTAGAGAGATCGCCTTTCTTCTTTATGAAATGCCCAAGGAGAGTTTGGTTGCCTGTTTTGGATAATTTTGAGTGAGTTAAGCCCAAATTAAGTTCGAGACAGAGGGAAAAGAGAAGATCAATAACAGCTATGAGAGCATATTCAAGCAGTTTATGGAGATTCTGGCTTCACTCGGTGTTGAACCTTTTGGACAAAGTGGGAAATCCTTTTGATCCAATGGTGAGTTAACTCTTGTTACTCTTTGTTTTCCCACCTTTCGTAGACATGATAACTAATTATTTGTTGCATAATTCATGTCTAAGCCTCATTCAAATTCTCATTTCTTGTCCTTATCAACAATGGGTTGGGGAGGCAGTTCGTGAACGAATTGCGCTAACGCCTCAAGTATATGATGCATTTGATTACTAATGAGAAGACTTTGACTGACTAGGAAATAATTATGGCAGAGAATACAATTAACTTGGCATATTCAATTTAATCTTCGAATGATGGACAGTACATTTGAATATTAGATGACCGGCTTCATTTTTGTTTTTTATTTGGCATGATGATTATTGGCTTAATGCAGATGAAGTACTGAGTTGGCTCGTTATTCAGTCAAGTACTTGATGAACATTCTCGAAAATTTGGACGAGTTTGTTCAGGATTTGTGAAGACCTGGTATGCTTTTAATACAAACCAAGTCTCGATTGATTCGAGCTGACTGTGAGTTTGAGTAATGATATGATATATTACGAATATAAGATCTTAGTTCTGGCATGAAACCTTAATTGTATTTCCTTAGGCAGGTAAATACAGATAGATGACAAGGAGAAACTTCATGGGAGTTTCTTTTATCTTCATGAATACTCCAATCTTCTTCTTACAAAATGATTTTTGTTTCTCTTGTCAAGCTGCATGAAGCGATCATGCGCTAGGATTCCACAGAATTCGAAGAAGGTATCGTTCTTCAAGAATTTCGCAAGGGTTTCAAGCTTGGAAACGAGCTGATGCGCCCTTCAATTGTTAAAGTATCGGCTGGTCCAGGGCCTCCAAAGCTCGAACAAGGAGACACTTCAGAGGGCACATATGAGGAAATAGGATTGATATTCTAATCTTAAGATTTTTCTTTGATACAATATGTCCTGATTTCAATAATAGAATGTTTTTTTTTATTTAAACAATTTTTTAAAGTAGACAAATAGGCCCCAGTATAAGGTATTGGTTTGTTAAGTCTCCCGACTATTAGACATTATAAAATGATCCTTTGATTATAGGGTGTTGTTTAGTTGAGTCATTTGATTATTGAAAATTACAGAATGATCATCTGACTATTCATACTTTCCGAGCGGTTGTCATTACTTGCTGAATGATATATGATAAAATCATATTTTAATGGTCAGATGACCATTTTGTAACTTCTTAATAATCAAGGGACTTAAGAAAATAACACTGATTTTATGACTTTTAATAGTTAATGGACTTAATAAAGCAACGTCTTATAGTTAAAGGACTATTTGTTTACTTTACCTTTATTTAATAGTTTAGTTAATTATAAAGTAGTATATATTCATAATCTTTTTTAATTATTAACAACATACATACACATTGCTTGAACTCAAAACTTATACAGCTTAATGGACTTTTAAATTAAATTGCATTAAATTGAATGCAATTTGGTAGGTACATTAAATTATAGTACCACAACCAAAAAACCTATGTTTCATGTGCGTGACCAATGATTTCGATCAGTTGATATATGTAGTAAAACTTAAATTCCAACAGGAAACCTACAAAGTTCAGTTGACGTAAGAGAACCCCGGGAAAGTTGGGCAACTACCAGTCAACTTTTTTCCACGTCAGGTAACCCCTAGAAATTAAAGCAACTAACGGTCAACTACTTTCTTCTCTTTGCTGGAGGGTGCAGGAAAACTCAAACTTGGAAGATATTAAAGTCTCCATTTTGTCCAAAACTAAGCAAGTTCAGTTAGTGTTCCAAAATTGTCTCATTCAGTTTCATATCTAATTAGCCATGGATGACAATTTGGCGCAGAGGTTTCTTGCAGAAGGAGAAGAAGAGGAGACTGATCTAAAGAGCTATGTTTTGAAAACCGGACCGGACCGGCCGGTTCAACCGGAAACCGTTGCTTAGTCCGGTTCAATCTAAACCGGTTGAACCGCTATTAGTGAACCGACTAAAATCGTTGAACCGTTTGAACCGGACCGGTTGAAAACCGGAAAAAATCGGGATTTTTTTTATAAAAAAAAAAAATTAAACCAAACAACGTCGTTTGTTAAACGAGCCAAGTCGAACTCGAGTATTGCTGAGCTCAACTCGAACTTGAAAACTTTAAAAGTAAGCTCAACTCAACTCAAACTTACAAGCTAAAAATTATCAAGTTCAACTCAAACTCGAAATATAATATTGAAACTTGAACTCAAAAAGGCTTGAACTCAAAAAAAATTAGAAGCTCGATTGAAGCCTAAAATTCGAGCTTGATTGAAGTGAAAGAATAGTTCACTCAATGCTCACCAAAAGGCTCCATGATTTTGAATGCCAAATTACCTCTATTATTTATAGAAGTTAGTTGTGATGCGCTTCTATGTTTTCTTAGCAATGTGAGATTGTTTTGTTCTCATATTTTTACTCTTTAGACTTTTGGGATGTTATTCTATATTTCTTAGCCATGTGAGATTGTTTTAAAAAAAATTAAACCAAACAATATCATTTTGTTATGATTTTTTTAATCCCAAATTTATTTTTTAATTATAGTTATATAATTATATTTATTATTTAATATATTTTACCTTAAATATTATGTTGTAGTTAATTTGAATCATTTTGTTTCACTTGATTTTATGGTTTTTAACTTATATATGTTATGACTTGCTTTGAATATGACTTGTGATATAAAAAATTATTTTTTATTAAATATTTTTGGTATTTTTATTTAATTTTTTAAATAATTATAACGTCGTCCTGTTCTTCTGACCGGTCGGACCGGTTCAACCGGTTGAACCAGTGAACCGGTAGCATGACCGGTTCGCTAACCGATCCGGTTCTGAAAACCATGCTAAAGAGAAGAGTTTGGGTTGAAACAAAGGCAATATGGAGGGTTGCTTTCCCTTTAATGTTGACGAGTGTCACTTCCTTCGGGATGATCGTCGTCATGCAGTAGTTTCTTGGTCACATTGGCGAAGTCGAGCTTGCCACTTACGCACTCATTAAAAGCATTTTCGTTAGGTTCATCAATGGTATTCTTGTAAGTAATCGATGTACAGCTCCCATTAGTTAACTTCACATTCTGTTTTTGGATGTAAGCTTTGTTTTTTTCATGTATTGTGACGGATTGGAATGTCGAGTGTGACCGAAACACTATGCGGGCAAGCATTCGGAGCAGGACAATACCACATGATGGGGATATACCTGCAACGCTCGTGGATCGTCGATGGCCTCACAGCGACTATCGTACTCCCGGTGTTCTTTTTCACTACACCGATCTTCAAACTACTCGGGCAGGAAGAGGAAATCACAGAAGCAGCCGGGAGTATATCTCTATGGTTTATTCCCATGCTTTACGAAATGGTCTTTGCACTCACCATGCAAATGTTCCTCCAAGCTCAGCAAAAGAATTTGATCGTTGGGTGCCTAAGTGCATTCTCCTTCACTCTTCACTTGTTATTTTCATGGATCATGGTGTACAAGCTTAACTGGGGTGTTGCTGGGGCAATGGGCTCCTTGAATGTATGTAGTTGGCTAATGGTTCTGGGCGAATTTGTGTTCATCTTCGGAGGGTGGTGCCCCAATACATGGGAAGGATTCTCCAAGGCTGCCTTCTATGATCTCTGTCCTATAATAAAGCTCTCCATGGCCTCTGGCCTCATGATTTGGTAACCTACACTGCTTTTATATGTTGTCCTCTGAATTTGTTTACTAGGATGAGATTTGTTAGCATTTGTTTCGGATTAAATGTAATCTTTATATTCGAGTTGGATTTCTTCGCGACGTTCCAAAGCAACTGATCGGTTTCGAATTAACAGCTTAGAGTTGTGGTACACTGCCATTCTTGTGTTGCTGGCTGGATATATGAAAAATGCAACCATTGCCATTGCAGCATTCTCGATATGGTAAGTTAATTCTTTAATGGGTAAACTACAAGCCCAGTACCCCAACTAGTAGTTTTGTTCTGTTTTGGTCACTTCACTGTTATTTTTTTCAAAATCATACCTAAAGTTACGTTTTGTGGTAGCCTCAGTTAAAAAATTAACAGAACTATTGACATGACGTTTTTAAAAAGAAAAATCAATGATAACGTGGTATTACCTTATGGTGACACCTTAACATCACCATAAGTTAATTCTTTAATTTTTCTTCTTCTTTTTCCCCTGCTCTAGTTTACTAAAAGCTCAAATTATATGCAGCCTCAATGTCAATGCAGCGAGCTAATGTTCTGCATAGGCTTCCTTGGTGCATCAATGTAAATTCTCTTCTTCTTTATATTTTCCTATCTAACTTATGATATTTTCCCCCTTTGAAGACACATTTTTGTGTGGTTTTTGCAGAGTAAGGGTGGCCAATGAATTAGGAAGAGGGAATGCAAAAGCATTGAAATTCTCAATAAAAACAATAATGAGCACTTCGGTCTGCATTGGGATGACATTCTTTGTTCTATGCTTAGTGTTCTGGCATCAAATTGCTCACTTGTTCACCAGTACTGAACAAGTTGTACAAGTTGCATCAACTCTCTCAACCTTCCTTGCCATCTCAATGTTGTTCAACAGCATTCAAATAGTACTAGGAGATAAGTTGTAATATGATGGTGTTTCAGGTAGGGATGGATCGAGTAGGGCTGGCGGGAACAGTCGCCTACCTGAAATTTTAGATATTATTTGGTTTTGATAATCTGTTTTCAACCCGTAACATAAAATCCTACATCCGTCCCTGATTTCAGGTATAGCAATTGGGGCAGGATTCCAGAGTTTGGTGGCAATGGTGAACATGGGGTGTTATTATGGTGTGAGAGTGCCTGTTGGAGCTGTGCTTGGTTTTGTGTTGAACCTTCAAGTTATGGTAAGAACAATAGGCATTTTTATTGGAAGCTTAAGTAAAAATTTATGGTTAATCAAATTGTGGTGTTTATTTTAATAGGGACTTTGGATAGGATTGTTTAGTGGAGTGGTATTACAAACACTCATTCTAGTGATCATAGTATGGAGAACAAATTGGGATGAACAAGTTAAGAAGGCTTCTGAACGTCTGAGCCGTTGAGAGGATGAACAACATAATCAAACCCTAACTCGACCTTAATTTGTACTTGCTTCATCTAGAAGCAATTTTTTTCAGTGTGCAGGGATGAATCAAAGGGGCGATCGAGGACGGTTGTCCCCCTAGAAATTTCAAATTATAATAAATTTTAGATATTTTCTTTGTATTTTCTATTGATAATATGTTTTCACCCTTTGGATTTTATATATTCGTCCTCCGCTAATATAAAATCTTGTGTATATTCTTGCTTAGATAATTAAATGGGTGGTTTTCTTATAATAAGATTTTTTTGTTATATTTTGCCCTCCCAACATTTTTAAGATTTATATTTGGGATTCTTGAGAATTCTTGTCTGTCAATTATATAGTATATCATTAAGTTAAAACTTTCAATAAATTAAAGGCGTTGAGTTAAATTAAGACTTTTTTTTAATGTGGACATGTGTATGAGTTGAGCTTCTAACACAATATGAAAATACAATCTAATAGGTAGAGGTGCACAAAAATCCGAATATCCGATTTTACATAAAAATATCCGAAACCGGATTTGGGAAAAACCGTTTTTTTTTAAACCGGATCGGATATTTTAAAACCGGATAGTATAACCGGTTTGGGAAAAAATTGGACGACCGGATTTTTTACCGGATTAAAAACCGGTTTGAAAAAACCGGATAAAAACTGGTTTTTTTATCTGGAAAAAAATCCGGTATGGGGTTTAAAAAACTGGTTTTTTAAAAAAACCGGATTTTTTCAAACCGAAACCGGTTACACCGGTTACATCATCCGACCCTCCAAACCGGTTATGATCCAAACCGATTTTTTATAAACCAATTTTTTGGCTTGGTGAAAAAACCGGATCGATTTTTATCCGATCCAGATCGGATTTAAATCCGGCTATGTGCATCTCTACTAATAGGTAGTAGATATTGTCACACCCTGATTTTCTAGATTAAATTTTTATTCGCTATATTTGAGGACCCAAATTGTAGCTTTCAAAAATCCAAAGACTATCATGTGAAATTAGCAAAGTGGTAAGGGATTAAATTAATCAGCACTAAAGTTTGATATCTAAATTGAATAAAAATTATAAAAATTAAGGGAAAAGTTGAATTCAGAGAAAAACTTGGGATTTAAAAGGTGAGCTTCATAAATTTTAGTGGCTTCATGTTCAATTTAACTATTGTTATTTTGATGGTACTGATGAGTTATAGGACCCAGGGGAAGGTCGAAGATCATCATACTTTACAACTCATTCTACAGTGCGTTTGAGGTATAAGTTGTTCCGAATTAAATTTAAATTATATTCTTGGATAAATCGACTCATTGAGGGAGTATATAACCTAAACTTTATGCCGAAAGATATTTATTTCCCCAGAATGTTTTCCTATTTCCCCTCGACCACAAATTCATGTAGCTTCCGATCAACGAACGTTCGTGTACGACACCGCGTTTGTCAAGTTAATTGATATGTTGTTCTTCTTCTATCAATGTCATCGTTATCATGTTGTTCTGCTTCTATCAGCGTAATCGATATTGTTGTTATCGTCCATTGATATGTTATTCTATTTTTATGAGTGTCATCATTATCGTTGTTGTGGAGAGAAACAAAAGAAATTTGGTCGTGCGTGAAAGGGATATACAAAACAACGATGATAAGAGGTTGGTGAAAGGTTTGTTCCACTTCATAATTATCATTTGATTGATGAAAATTGGATAATTTTCTTTTAGTTTATTTATTATGCTGCGTTAAGACTATATTTGGAATACAATAATCATATGCAAAGTCGAAGTAAATAGAAAGAAATAATTAGGTTTCTACTAGTGTTTCATGAATCAGCTATATCCCCCGCCGTTGGCGGTGGCCAACTTTAACGTTTCGGCGCCGTTAGAAAGACCGGGCTCCCCAATTCCCGTGGAGGTGCAACCGGTGTCAAAGAAAGGGAAGGAGGAATCGTTGCGGAACGTAGCAGCTCTTGCTCTGGTTTCGGGTGATATTTCTGCTCCATCTGAGATGGACGTTGAGTCGTCTGGGGATTTGCGATAAGGAACAGGAGGTAGTAGAATGGATCCTCCACAACCGTTGGTCTCTTTGGGAAGGGTAGAGGTTACTAAACAAAGGTCTTATGCTGCTACTGTGGCTGGAGGAGATGGTTTCCAATCATCAAGCGAAGTCTTCGGCGATGTGGACGTGGTGCTACAAGAGGGAGATGCAAAGGTGGATCGCAGTGGATTCTATCCGATAATCAATTTCTCTGATCGAGTCCATGAGCCCATTGATAACAACATGCGACGTTCAATCATTGTACGTCTGTTGGGGAGGACAATTGGTTATCGCATGCTTATGAATAAGATCAAAAGCTTATGGCATCCGTAAGGTCGATTTCAACTCATTCATTTAGATAATAGGTATCATCTGGTCCGGTTGGAACTCGATGGTGACTACAACAGGATTTTGACTGAGGGGCCTTGGATGATTTTTGGAAGCTATCTAACGTTGCAACCATGGTCAAGGAATTTTAGCACGTCCGAAAGCCATCCATCGCATGTCATGGTTTGGTTACGTCTCCTGGGATTACCATATCGATATTATACGAAGGCCCTTTTCGGGTTTTTGGCAGCTGAGATTGGTCAGGTTATCAAGATTGATTACAACACGAATGCGGGGGAGAGGGGGAAGTTTGCTAGGTTGGCTGTGGCAGTTGATCTGAACAAGCCGCTTCTTCCTTGTATTGGAATCGATGGTTTCGTTCAAAAGCTAGAATACGAGGGTCTCCCAACTATTTGCTTTAAATGTGGTAAGTACGGGCACTCGCATGAGATGTGTAAACCTCCTTAGCCGGAAAAAGAAGCCGAAAGTAGTGAAAATCAGGCAAATGGACAAATATAGGACATACAAATGGACAAGAAAATACAGCCAGAGTTACCGAGGATCCAGGAATTATTTACCGCCCTTGGATGATTGCTGAAGGACGAAAAAGGAGACCGAGGAAAATTCAGGAGGATCGGGATGCAGCCACAATAACAGCTACTCGGTTTGATGTCCTAGCATCGAGCCATACTGAAAATGAATCAGAGAATGTGAATCCGATTTAATAGACGTGGTTTTGGCGGATGGTAAAGTAATGGACGTGTCGACGGGAAGTGATGTTGCTGGGACTGGTAGCAGCCACTCTTAATTTCTTCTTTCCCATGTTTAGTTGCATGACTTGGGATCATGTCATTCATCACTTGGGATTTCCAAACTCATTTCGAATGGAAGCAAGGTGGTTCAGTGGTGGAATTTGGCTGCTTTGGCAACCTTCTATTAAGATTTATATTCTTCGGGTGTCAAATTATTACATTCATACTGTGATTCGTTTTTCTCAGGTGGGCAGAGATTTGTTCATAACATTCGTACTGTCATTCATCAAGTTATTGTTTGCTTGGAGGATCAGTTTGAATTTAGTGTGGGTTGAATCGGATTGCAAAATGCTATAGATGCGATCAAGGATACTTCGAGGTGTTAGCCTACTTTTGCACTGGTCCACCACATTCGAAGTTTCACAAAGAAGAATTGGCAGCTGGGGTTCGCCTATGTTCCTAGAGAAATGAATCGAGTTGCGGATCGCATAGCACGACTGGCTTGGACTAGCGATTCTATGTTTATTCGCTACCAGGATCCACCGGTGGCCATTGCTGATATGGTGCACAAGGAAGCAGAAACAGCAATCTCCTGGCATGTGAATCCTATCCACTTAACTTTTTATCATATTCACAGTAGCTGCATCGACAATATTCTCATATTTTATATGAAGAATACTGCACTTTTTATTTTATTATTATTTTTACACAATATCCACTTAAATCTAAATATTTTTTCTTTTAGTTTATTTAAAATATTAATGGAAAATTAATAGTTATTTCAGTTCAAATTTCAAAACAGGAGAATTAGATCAATTGCAGTATGTTTTGTTTTGAATTTTGGACTTGTATTAGGGTAAACTATACTAATATTTCTCTTTGTTTTCATCCTGGCCAAATTTAATCATCGATTTAAAAATTAAATGTGTTTGGTATTTAACGTTATCGGTTTGTTCGGCTTAAGTTTCTCGATCATTAACTTTTATTAACTTATTAACGGTAGTTTGAGTTGACAATTAAAAAATGGGTAAACTACACCAATAGTCCCTTTTATTTTTTATGTGATCGACTTTAGTCACCGATTTTTTAATTATGTGAACTTGATCCTTTACGTTACCTGTCTGTTTGGTTTAAATCTCTTAATTGTTAACTCCCGTTAACCTATTAATAGAAGTATTATTAGACAATTTTTAAAATAATAAAAAAATTCACATTCATCAATTGGAAGTAATATGATAATTTTAAAATAATAAAAAAAGTCATACTCCTTCCGCCAACAAGACATAACCCCCATAACCCAAAACATCCGCTGTAAACCCCAAAAATTTAAATTCTAAAGTCAAAGATTAACCCACTCTCACACATTCACCACCATCAACGCCAAAGCCATTTAAACTGACCACCCAAACCTCGATTTTTTGAAACTATAACTCTCATATGAACTTCACATATACCTCACCTCATCGTTAAACCCAAATCTCGTAGCCACAGTAGCCAAAAAAATCAAGCGAAAAGAAGGAAACTATCGTTCGATCTTTGGGTTCTCAGAAATCCGACGGTCAGTTGGTAGATCTGAACGGTGGGTAGACGCGTGGAGAAGATGGTAATAACATACTCCGAAACCAAAGAAATCCATCGGTGGAGACGGCAGATCGACGAGGAGACACCCGAGAGCTTCAAGCGTAGATCTATGCCATTTGGATCACTTATTTTTAAACTGGTGACTGGATTCATGTTCTCCACATTTACCGAGCTTTGATCCAGTCGAGTTCGAACTGCTCACGAGTTACTCAACTCATTAAGTACCCCTAAAAGTGAGAGGAGAGAAAGAAGAAATGGTGAGATTTTTTTAATATTTTAAAATTGTCACGTCACTTACAACTTGTGATTGTGGATTTTTTTTATTATTTTAAAATTGTCACATAATAATTTCATTAATGGGTTAACAGTCGAGGAACTTAAACCGAATTGATCGATAATGTAAAGGATCAAGCGTATTTAATTAAAAATCGGTGATCAAAGTTGATCATATCAAAAACAAAAGAGACTATTAATATAGTTTACCCTTAAAAATAATAATTTTTTTTCATAACATGCAAAAGAGAATAACGAACCATAAAATCTCATGCTATTTCAAATTCAATCACTTTAGTGTTTTAAAAATTACAATATCATCAAATATTGTACTCCCAAGAGAAACAAAATTAAATATGGGTAAACATTTTTGCTCAAGCCGTTGAGATTAAGGAAAGCTAATTGTTGTTAACCTCAAACTATGCACGTTGGTTTTACTTCCCTTTCACATTAATATATGCCCACTGCTCTTATTGGTCCCGATTTGACAAATTAAAACATGTCAAGCAATTGGCTTGCTGGAAGGACTGGTGGGGCTTCAAACAGGGTCGGTCCAGTGAGTTTTAATGTCCTGAGCGAGATAATAATTTTATGCCCTATACTTGTACCGTATAATAGACAAAACATAAATAATTTTTTTAAAACAAAAATGTAATAGAAATTATAGTCAAACAATATCAATACTAATACAAACCAAAACCTACAAGGCTACAAATAATTTTTTTAAACGATGCATTCGTGCATTTTTTGAAGCAAAAACCTCTATTATTTTACGATAATCAAGACTTTGTAAAAATTGACTTTCGATGCTTAGAATTGTTAATAGGTTCAATCTATCTTGAGTTATCGTGCTTCGAAGATAGAATTTCAAGAGCTTCAATTTTGAAAACTTCTTTCCGCGGAAGCAACCGTAACCGATACCGTCAACAAAATTTTATATGATATCAACACATTAGGGAGAATTGATTAAGCACCGTTTGGCGTCTGCACTTCCAAGGGAGAATTATTTTTTTTGGATCTTCGTCGCCTACTCTAAGCCTTCCATCGACCGATCAGGTGTTCTGGGCTAATTTTGTTGGGCCAAATATATATATACACACTATAAGCACTAGAAAACTAATGCCCCCTCAAACATGCTGCCCTGAGCTAAGGCCCATCTGGCACATGCATTGGGTCGGGCCTGGCTTCAAATTGGTCACTTCGCTCCATCAATAGCTACTAAGCTTCAACCAGCAGTTTCATGTATATAGTTTAGATATTTTTTGTATTGATAATATGTTTTTAACCCATTAACATAGAATCCTACTGGGCTGGATTCCAAAGTTTGTGGCAATGGTGACTGTTGGTGGTGTGTTGTGTTAGTTAGAAAAAATAGACAGTTTTATCTGAAGGCTTAATAAAAAAAAGCTTAAATATACAAAAGGTGCACAACCTATACCCCTTTTTCTAATTTAGTGCTTAACGTTTATTTCGTTTCAGTTTAGTGTCTAACGTTTCATTCCGTTACTCAAAAATGGGTCAAGTCATGACGGATCGTTAAGTTTGACCATTAAGTGACACGTGCCATAACCTGGTAATTTTAAAATTTTTATTTAAAATTAAAAAATTAAAATTATATACAATTTTTTTAAAAAGAAAACACAAATTTTGATCCTAGGAATTTTATGGGATTTTCATCCTAGGATTCGCGGGGTATAAAACGTTGATTTGTCATTTGATCGACCGTCGATCGTCATAATTTTATGGGGTTTTGGTCACCGAGGGGAGGTCAGGTGGAGCTTCATCAACGGTAAAAGGCATCCGCGGACGTGGGTTTAGGGGTTGAAATGAAGGTTTTCAAAGTTTTGGGTTTATTTCAAAAAATTTGTGTTTTCTTCAATGTTTTTAAAACCGGACCGGACATTAAATCGGTGAAGGTACTGGTTCACTGATTCAACCGTGTTTAAACCGCGGTTGAACCGGTTTATATAAAATAATATATATTTTTTAAAATTTTACATAATATTCAAAACAATATATATATATAACACTCTTTTTAAGTTCACAATATTAAAAGGTATAAAAATATCACAAGTCATAACATATATAAATTAAATACCATAATATCAAGTGAAACAAAATGATTCAAATCAACTACAACATAATATTTAAGGTCAATACCTAATGAAATTCATCAACAACTAAATAAAAAAGTACATAATTGATACAAGTATGAATCATCATAATATTCATTGAAATTGATTTCCTCAAATTCCAAAATATTGGGAAAAACTTCTTCATTAGTTGAACTACACCACCATCACCACTTTGAACTTGAAAGGTCACAACATCAAGATCTTCATCACTTAGCAATATGATAAATAAATACAAAGTTAAATTTAAATTCCCAAACAATACTTAACAATTAAAAGTAAAAGTGTAAAACATATTAAATAATAAATATAATTATATAACTAAAATAAACAAGCAAAGATTAACCTTCATTGTTTTTTTGATGATTGACCAACTTGAATTGCATTCTCATGATAAAGAAAATTATCAATCTCATCAATATCAAGCTCAGGAGGTGTTTCTACTTCAATTACCCAAAAATCAACATGATCAATAGATTCATAATCAATAGGATCATAACATGGCTTCTTGAGCAACCTAAAATTAAACATCACAATATCAAGAAAGAAGTTGATTAATGATTAATTGATTATGCTTAAAAGGATAAGGAATTGAAATAATATTTTGACATTATACCTATTCTTTAAACGCAAGTTATAAGTAACATAAACTAGATCATTTAGTCTTTGATGTTCTAGTCTATTTCTTCTCTTTGTATGGATACGTTCAAAGACACTCCAATTTCTCTCACATCCAGAAGATGAAGAAGTTTGGCTAAGAAGACGGATTGCCAACTTTTGCAAAATTGGAGCACTACCTCTAAACAATGCCCACTATTGATCTACATTAAATAAATTTAATGATAAAAAAATGGAAGTATAGAACACAATTTATACTTAACTATTTAAGAGTAAAAATATAAATTATAAACTAGAAAATATAAAGTAATATTTACCGGGTCGAATTGTCTTTGTTACGATAAGAGCACTTTCTCGACCAAAACTTCCTTGTCGTTCCCGGTACATATTCATCTCACTAATGCCTCTAGTTAAGTCATTACAAAAAGCTCTTTTTTCAAGTAAAGAAATGGATGCACTCATGACTTTGTTCTTGCTACAAAATTTCTCATCATAGAAGAATGCAGGATTTACAAAGTAAGCTGCTGCATGAAGATTGAGTTTTAAATGTTTATCCCATCGAGCCTTAATAATATTTGTGCAAGGCTTATACAAAGCTCTTCTATTTCTAAACATCTCCTTTATAACATTTTTCCCTTTGCATGCCTTCATTAACAAAACCAAGAGAAGGCTTTTCATCCCCATCTATAATTCTTAGTAATCGAATGATAGGAGCCACAAGTTTCGCTATCGTCAAACAATCATTCCAAAACTTTTGATCCATAACAATAGCACTAACAATTTTTCCTTCTGTAGTCTTTGATAATTTATGGCCAGTGAAATGCTTGTCTACAACTAAAGCTTGCAAATCATGTTTGTGATCAAAATTATTTTTCAATGTAATAAAAATAGTAGCAAAACGAGTCACTCCTGGACGTACAATTTCTTTCCAACCTTCTCTTTTTCTCATCCAAGATAAGAATACCATGTGATTATAGACAAATACTGTAATCTTGGAAGCCTTTGAGGCAAGGTCTGCAACATGAGGCATACTAGCAATGTCCTTCAAAAGGAGATTCAAACAATGAGCGGTAAAAGGAGACCAAAAATTATTTTCATATTTCTCTTGTATCAATTTACCAATAGCTACATAATAAGCTGCATTATCAGTCACTATATGGACAACATGTTCAGCTGCAACCCATTCAACCACTTCAGAAAACAAGCCGCATAATGTCTTAGCATCTTTTATGACATCTGATGCATCAACAGATTTCACAAATACTACACCTATAGTATAATAAATTAAAAAGTTTATCAAACATATATTAAGTATTCTTCATATGACAGTTAACAACAAACTAAAAAAAATAGTGAACTAATAAGTAATAACTATACTAAAGACTATTAAAATTTCACATAAATGATACCTGCAGGACAATAAACTAGAAAGTTGATCAAAGTTCTTTACTATTGATCAGTCCATCCATCTGCCATAATTGTATATCCACTCTTAGCCCAATTTGCTCGATAACCTTCTACAAGTAAGCAACACTATCTCTTGTAATCTCCCAACAAGTTAACCCTTAATTCATGATAAGATGGGCCTTTAAAACCGGGACCAATAACATTGATTGCATCTAAAGCAGGTTGAAAGTATGGAGATAGTGTTGCATGAAATGGAATGCAGGCATCGTAAAACCAATGAGCAATTGCCATCTTAGCTTTGTGAATTGCTTGCTTGCTTAATAATACACTTTTCAAACTTGGTTGGATATTGGAGTAGTCCTTGGAGCAAAATAATTACTAATTTCAACATTAGCTTTCTTTTCAATGTGGCTTGCATCTTACTCTTCTTATCCATATTTGAGCTAGGTTAAAATTCTTGTGCTTCCTCTTCAATATTTTGATCACCATATGCTTCATTTAGGTTACTATCACCACTCTTACTTTTTTCTTTGATTTCATCCAATAACTTAAGCATTTGGTTACGAACATCATGAGGCACTTTTCTGCAAGAGCTTATATTACCTGGAACCCCCACAAGATGTTGATTCATTCTATTTATGCCCCCTCCTTTACAAGGCTTACTACAATAAAGGCAAGTGTATACACAACTTTTTCCCTCTTTTTTAAATGAAACATGATCCCACGCAGGATCACTTTTCCCACAAGTTGTACTTGAGGATTCTATGGATTGTTTCTCAGATGGCATATTATTAGCATTATTATCTTGAGAAGCATTCTCTTGTAGAGCATTCAAACTTGGTAATTCCTACATGTTATAAACATAAACTGATTAGTGATTAATAATAAATAATTGAATAATTGAGAAATTTATATGCAATTATAAATATAACAAGCAACTAAATTTGTCATAGAGGGACAATCTCACTAGCACCAATTTCAATATCCTTGATATAGATAGGAGCTAGTTAGACTGTTAGAGAAATTGAGAAGCACTATAGATGAAAGTGAAAATGTCAATTAGGGGTGTTTATTTTTTGGTTTTAACCGAATTAACTGACCGAACCGAATTAGTTCGGTTAATTCGGTCGGCCACCGAATTAGTTCGGTCGGGGAACGGTTAATAATTTTTTTATAATTTTGTTAACGGTTAATTTAGTTCGAAATCAGTTAATTAATCGAATTAACCGAAATTAAAATTTAAATATTAAATATATTATATATAACACATGGGCTCAGCTCAAACCATTTAAAACCCAATTAATAATTTAAGATATAATGACTTTTAAACCTAAATCAATATTAATTAATTAAAAAATCCATATAAAATTTTTATTTTATAATTATATATTATTTAAATTATTTGTAAATTGTTTTTTTAAATTAAAAAATATTCAATTTTTATATAAAATAGAAAAATTTTTAAAAATTTCGGTTAATTTGAAAATTAACCGAAATTAATTTAGTTCGGTTAAAGGTTAAAGAAAAAAAGTTCGATTAATTCGGTTTGGTCGGCCATCGTTTTAATCGAATGAACACCCCTAATGTCCATAGGGTAGGAAAAGAGATCCTAAAAGTCATCCTCGAAATGAAGAGTTGTTGAATAAATTAAAAAAGTGTAGTAACATGGGACAAATTGTGTGAATCTATCAAGATTTTTTATCTGTGATGTCTAAGCTAAAATATAAAGAAAAAAAATGAAAAGAGAATACATGTTCCACATATTTTTGTATTATAGTTCTTATAACAATTATTTTGGAAATCATTTTCAAAATTTAGTCATTTTTAGCTTAAAAATGGATGGTTGAAAACTGTAATATTGCTTACCAAAACAATTTTTAAAATAATAATTAAATTAAAAAAACAGAGAAGAGAAACATATAGGCCCTTATAGTGAGTGCACTAGTGTAGCGTTTAGAAGCAATGATAGTTCTATAAAAGTTAAACTTCTAATAGTAATCTTTAGGCACAATGGTAATCTTTAGGCACAACAATTGTTACAAAGAGTTAAATTTTAGTATGTCAAATAATTCATTAATGTGTAATAACAATTGTTACATAGTTAAATTTCAGAATGCTGCTTCATATTAAGCATGATGGCCAGTGAAAGATGTCAAAATCTTGCAATGAATTCACAACTCAAACAACACATGGTAGTTGGGTTTTAGATGACACCTAATAAATGCATTTAAGGATCATCATATCTCAACACCTCAACAAATAAAGCTATGCTTTCATCCTTTCAATTTGGACTTCGGCTTATTGCTTATTATATAAATAACAAGACTCTTCACTTAAGACCAATCAACCATCGAAAAGATTATTTGCTGCAACAACCCAATAGTATTTATAAAGAAAGCAATAACCCAATAATATTTTACGAAGAAAGCAACAACATAATTTTATGATTAAAAAAAAACGAACAGGAAAAGAAAAATGGAAACAGGAACGCTAAACAAGTAAACATTATTAGCAGGAACTCAATCAAGCACAAACAGAAACACTAAAAAAATACTTGTGATTAAAGGAAATACTTGTGGTTGAGACATGGTAGGAACCGAAATGAAGATGATGTCGTGATGTTGTGCGAAATATGAGTAGAGTGCGCCGGTGATAGAGTAGGCTGTTGATGACGGAGTACGACGCCGGTGAGGGAGTATGATGCCGAAGATGGAACGGTGATGAAGGAAACCAAAGTGGAAAAGGGATAGGGTTCACCACTTGCAAACGTTCGTGAAAATGGCTTAACCCAGATGCAAAATCAAAAAATAAATTTGGGGCTGAAAAAAATCATAACAAACGAAGTCGTTTGGTTTAATTAAAAAAAAACAAAATCGTGTGAACCGCTTCAACTACCGGTTCACATCGGTTTTGTCGGTTCCCAATCGGTTCTGCCGGTTTTTTAGTGATTTATTGCAAAACTAGTTTTGGAGGCTGATTGGATCGGAAAGGGAACCAGTTCTCGGTTCAACTGGTCGAACCAGTCGATCCGGTCCGATTTTGATAACATTGGTTTTCTTTATATATATATATATATATATATATATATAATTTTTGTAATTTTAAAGAAAAATTTTAAAATTACCAGGTTGTGACATGTGTCACTTAACGGAGAAACTAACATTTTTAACGACCCGAGCTCCTAAATGAATAACGGAATGGAACGTTAGACACCAAACTGGAATGAAATAAATGTTACTGGAAAAAATGGGCATAGGTTGGGCACCTTTTGTATATTTAAGACTAAAAATGTTATGGTTAATCAAATTTTGGTATTTATATTTTAATAGGGACTTTGGATAGGATTGCTTAGTGGAGTGGTATTACAAACAATCATTCTAATTGGGATGAATAAGTTAAGAAGGCTTACGAACGTCTCAAACTTTGGCTTGTGGAGGATGAGCAACATAATCAATTAATTTGTACTTGATTCATCTAGAAGTTTTTTCATGTGTTCTTAAGATCAGAGATGGATCAAAGGGGCAGTTGAGAGTAGTCATCCCTAGAAAAAATTCAAATTATAATATTTTCTTATATTTTCTATGTTTGTACCCTTAAAATTTTATATGCTCATCTTCCTCCAACATAAATCATACGTTTATCCTTGTTTAAGATAATTGAATGGAAGATTTCCTTATAATATGATTCTTTTTATTATATTTTGCTCTCTCCTCAAGTGACTTCAGTAGTTAAAGGTAATAGGATTAATGCAGTTGAATTTGCCAAATAAAATTTTGGAGTATGGAGAGAAAATATAGACAATTTTCACAACAATTTAGAGTGGTTCGATGTAACACCCCAAACATCGGGTCAGTGACCAAAATGTAAGAAATTAAATTTAATGGTTTAAGTTGAATAATTTAAAACGTTCAAGGACTAATTTTAGAAATTTTGATTAGGACTTGTTATCGGAGATGAGATATTGGAGGGGCATTAAGGTCTTTTTGAAGGAAAGGAAATTTATATTCCGCTTTTGAGAGATATAAATATGTAGAGTAAAAAATCAAGGGAAAAAAGAAAAGTCTGGAACATGAGTCATTTTCTCTTCTTTTTTCTCTTGCCGTGAACCTTCATTTGCAAAGATAAATGTTCAAGCTGGTTGTTTCTTCAAATTTTGGTTTGGTTTTGAAGACTTAGGTGATATATAAGCTTAAGAGAAGCTTTAGGTGGATTAAAACTAAAAGATGAGTGAATTTGTGATGAATTTATAAAATGGGTTGTTTGGTGATTTGACGAGATTAGGTAGTAATTCAAATTCTAAAGGTATATTTGACTTGTCAAAGGTCTAATTAAGGGATTTGAAGTATTAGAAATGATTTAGAACATGTTTTAAAATATGGTATGATTTTTAGATTTAAGTGTTCTAGTGAGATTTTGGATATTTAAGAGTATTAAATTGAGATAAGTTGTTTTTGATAAGTGAAGTTGAGTTTAAAGGCATGAAAGGAGATTAAAGTCGGAGATTTGGGTAAGTTTTGGTTAAATTTTGAAATGAAAATGGTAATTTCTAGGCAAGTGTATCGATACTAGAAGAACATTACCGATACTTCAAGGAAAAACTAGTTTGACTTCGAGGATCAGTATTGATACTGATTGATGAAGGTATCGATACTGAAATGGGGGTATCGATACCAAGAGTAAGGTATCGATACCATTATCAAGTATGAAATTCCAGAATGCCAAAATGGTATCAATACTGAAGTGGTATCTGTTGAGTTAATCGATCGACGGAATCGGCCAAGAGGGGGGTGAATTGGCAATAAAAATTTTGGTGGAAGCTTTTGCAGAAAATTGAAAAGATTTGCACAGCGATTTAGAGTGGTTCGACTTTCTCAACCAAAGTCTACGTCCACTACCTTAACTATCCACACTAAGGATTTTCCACAAATTCACTTATTTGTCTTTCTTTTGAGGAAAGAGTACCTTACAAAACCCTCAAGAATTATACCCCAAATTCTTGAGAAAACTCTCTCCCAAAGAGAACAATACAAATTTGCAAACTTACAAGGAAATCCTCACAAGGTAGATTGTTTGCACAATTCTAGAACAAAGAAAAGAACACTCAAGAATGAATACAATTGAGTACAAAAGTGTTCTTGAAAGCAAAATGAATATTGAATGAAAAATAGGCTTGAAATGCTCAAACTTGAGGTTTAATGCTTTCTCTTTGATTCTCTCTTGATTCTAGTTGCTTGATGTTTCTTGTTATTGATCAATGGCTTCTAAGCTTGTTTAAATACACCTTGAATCACTTCTGAACGTTGGGGATGATTAGAGGAGTCAATAGAGCCGTTTAAGTGTGAAAACAATTAATTAATACAGTTAGGAGCGTCAGTGCATCGATGCATACCTATGGTGCATCGGTGCATCGGTGCATCAGTGTAAAATTCAAATATTTTGACCGTTGGAACCTTAGTGCATCGGTGCACTAAGAGTGCATCGATGCATCAAGTGCATTCGATGTTTTAAAATAGCCCGAGTGCATCGATGCATGGCTGGTGCATCGATGTATCAAATGCATTCGATGTTCTTATAAAATCCTCAGTGTATCGGTGCATGGTGTGCATCGATGCATGAAATGCATTCGATGTTCAATTTAATTCATGGTGCATCAGTGCATCACTCTGAAAAATTGATTTTAGGCTTGCTTTTGGTTCAAAATACTTTGTGAAAATTGTTTCAAAAATAGTTTAAGTACAAATCATAATTTTACACATTTAGTAAGGATTAAAATTGTTTTTGAAAGACTTGGAGTAATAGTTTGACATTCGATTAATTTGAATCGAATATACTTAGAAAATCATTTATAAAATCTTAAAATTCATTTAAACTTAATTTGTTATATCGAAATATCAAAATGTTTTCAACAATCTCCCCCTTTTTGATATAACAAAACATTTGTGTTATTTTACGATTTTCTAAATTTGAAATCAGTTTTGAAAGATTACTCCCCCTTACTAAAACACTTTTTCCCCTTTTAAAAAACATTTCAACACTTAACATTTATTTCAAACTTAACATTTCTCCCCCTTTTGTTAAATAAAAAAGCTTCAAAACGTTTTAAACAAGTTAGTGAAAAACATAGCCAATTGATATTATATCTATATTAGGCTGCTAAGATCACAATCAAAAGAGAGATTAGCCATTAGTTTCATAATCAATATTTATAATCATAAATGGATAATCGGTCATAATGCTACTATGATGATGCAAAAATTAATAACCATTAAGCTCAAAAAGAAATTTCAAACCAAACTAATATATATATTAAGTAAAATTCATAAAACAACCAAATCATATATCCAAACAAAGTCAGACAAGGTAAACAAAGTTTAACAATAAACGTTCAAGACGATCCTAAAACAAGATCTACTCATCCATAGAAGGATCAGGAGGAGGCGGAGGAAAACGGGCTTGCATCTCAAGCGAGAGATTATCCATGCGTGCAAGCATCTCCCATTGAAACTCTATCTGTCGAGCTTCCAAAGTGTCTAAACGTTGATTTACTGCTTCGTGAGTAGCAGTCAAGTGTGATTTAATGGAAGCACATCGTAAATCAAATGTCTCCAAGAACGATCGAAAATATGGAGGCATTTGATCCTCTTGTGGAGCTGGTTCCGGTGCATGCTCGTCATCGGGTACGTGATCATCTATGTCTTGCATAAGCTATTGGAATTCAGGATCATCGTCATCAGCCGGAGCCGAAGGAGGAGGAGGAGGAGGAGGAGGAGCACGAGAGGAGCTAGGAGCAGCTCGAGAGGAACTAGCTCCAGGAGTTTGCTTGCCGGGTCTAAAACCCATGACGGTTACATCATCTTGTTTCCAACACGCTTTCTTTCAAGGATGTGAGATTTATTTGATTTTGGAGTGGGATAGGATTGTCGAGAGAGACGTCTAGACCAAGTTGATAAAGAGGTTACTAAGAGACAACCATTAAATTAATGTTTCAACATGAGGAGCTAGGAGCAGCTCGAGAGGAACTAGCTCCAGAGTTTGCTTGCCGGGTCTAAAACCCTTGACCGTTACATCTCTTGTTTCCAACACGCTTTCTTCAGGATGTGAGATTTATTTGATTTGGAGTGGGATAGGATTGTCGAAGAGACGTCTAGACCAAGTTTGATAAGAGGTTACTAAGAGACCATAAATTATGTTCAACATGTTTTAAAGGAACAATGTTTATGATGTCCACTAGTTGACTGAAAATAATATGGGGCAGATTTATTTTGATTTTATTTTTGATACAATACATCCACCATCCCTGGCACGAAGTGTGGAGTACCTACCTCCGGATGGTCTAAACCACCAAGAGATCATCAAATGGAGAAAACGATCGTGATGAGATCGTAGAGTACTAAAACTTGAGTTTGGAACATAGAGATATTCCACATTATTAACACCACTATCATCTAACCCAAAACGGAAAGCTATAGTCTCGGGGTCAATATTAATATATTGGCCTAAGAGATAGGATCTAATGGCTATAGTTCCACATTGGGTTTCATTTTGAATACACACCGCATTGGAATAGAAAATACGGACCAATTGTTAATAGACTATGGGTTTAAGCTGAAACAGTTTATCATACTTCCAAGTTTTAAGAATTGGAAGGTATTCAAAGTCAATGTCAACCATGGCTTGAAGCGAAGGAATACGTTCTTCACGAATTCTATAAGTTTGGAAAGAATTTCTGTACCTAGAGTACAGTTCGTCTCTACGACGCTCAAGCATGTTAAAACAAGAACCTAATAGACTAGTAGGTGATGGAGGAATGGGATTTGGCGGTTGGTTTGAACGACAACAACTAGACGAAGTTCTAGGACATTTGGGATTAGACATGATTAAAGGAAACAGAATAAGGAATATTACCTGCAATTTTCATTTATGCACAATCAATCCCAAAACTCAAATGAGTCCTCAATAATTCAAGGTTCTCTAAACCATATCCTAATGGGCATGTTTTGAAAACTATTAAAATATTTGATAATCATAATAATATAGTTTTCACAAAAACAATTAAATCAAAAATCTTACTAATTAATTTTTTTTTAAAATTTCGAAATCCAATTTTTTTTGAAAAATTGTTTGTTTTGGACGAAATTGGTAGTAAAATCTAGTTTATAACCAACAAACAATCAATGCCCGATATAATGTACATCATAGAACTAATTAAAACTAGTTCTAAAATCATAAATTTGTAAAATAGAGGTTTTTAGAAAAATATCTTGAAAATTCGGATTGAGAGGGATGAGGAGTTGTTTTGCACGATTTAATGATTGAAGCAGGTTTGAGAGTTGAAAAGCTTGAAGATTCTGATGAAAAATCGTTGATTTTGAGCAAGAATGGAGATTTTAGAGAGAGAGAGAGACGAACGGCTTTGAGAGAGGGGTTTTTAGGTTTTGAGAAAATGAAAAAATGAGGCATTTTACCCAAAACCCGACGGATGCATCGATGCATGACCCCGTGCATTGATGCACATTCAAGGCGTGCATCGGTGCATCAACATGATGAATCGATGCACATTCAATGGTATGTATCGATGCATTAAATGCATCGGTGCATGAGGCACAAAAATGTTCAAAAATCTGTTTTAAAGACTCAAAATGCTAAATTAATTAGCTTTAGTGGTCTTGGCAACTCATATATTGAAAATTAACCATGTTCAATCAATCAAGTTAATCTCTTAAATAATTAATTTTCACCAAATAACATAAACTCCACCTAACTAATAGCAAATAATGCAATCAAAAATTATCATTATAAGCATTTTTCATTTATTCTTAAAAGTGCTAAAAACTATTTTAAACACTAAGTGAAGATAGGTCAGTTAAACCTAATTCTCTCCTAAGTGTCCAAAATCTTTCTTTGTCTAAAGGTTTTGTAAAGATATCAGCTAATTGATGCAAAGTATCAACAAATTCTAGAACTACATCTTCCTTAGTGATATGGTCTCTAATGAAGTGATGTCTTATTTCAATGTTCTTAGTTCTAGAGTGTTGGATGGGATTTTTAGTGAGAAAAATATCACTAGTATTGTCGCACTTGATAGGAATGGTACCTACTTTAATTCCATAATCAAAAAGTTGTTGTTTCATCCATAAAACTTGTGCACAACAACTACCGGCTGAAATGTATTCTGCTTCAGTGGTAGATAATGCAACACAATTTTGTTTCTTTGAAAACCAGGAAATCAGCATATTTCCAAGGAATTGACAAGTACCATAGGTGCTTTTCCTATCTAATTTGCATCATCCATAATCCACATCAGAAAAAGCATGCAAGTTAAAGCTAGAGTCTCTAGGATACCAAAGTCCTAAACTAGGAGTGTCTTTAAGGTATCTAAAGATTCTCTTAACAGCTAGTAAATGTGATTCCTTAGGGCATGATTGAAATCTAGCACATAAGCAAACACTAAACATAATGTCTGGTCTACTTGCAGTTAGATAAAGTAGAGATCCAATCATTGACCTATATAATTTAACATCTACACATTTACCTCCTTCATCTAAGTCTTGTCGCAAATATCCGTGGCATTTAAATAAGAGGAAACTCTTCAATATTCATTCAGACCTAATGCACAAAACAAAATGTGCATGACCTTAGCATTGAGTTGGAACTCTTTATTCTCTTCTTCACTCCACTTCATCATAACTGTAGTTGAAGTAGACTGACGGTCAAGATAGAGCTCCAAGCTCCTAGATCGTTATCTTGAATGAAGAGCATCATCCTATTCTTCCAATAAGCATAATTAACTATATTGAAAAATGGTGACTTGTTGACCGGTTATGAGTCTTCAATGTAGTAGGAGTTGGACGTTGAAGCCATCCTTTTTGGTTGATAGAGGAAGTGTATATATCTCACCTATGACATTCTCAAGGTTGTTAAATCGTCGATAGAGACTCACTTTGATACCAATCATTAGGATTAATGAAGCTCAATTGATCAACCAAAAATGGTGCCAAGAGTGGGTGAATTGGCAAAATAAAATTTTAGGAGTATGGAGAGAAAATATAGAAAATTTGCAAAACAATTTAGACTGGTTCGACTTTTCGACTAAGTTTACATCCACTACCTTAGCTCCACACTAAGTATTTTCTAACAAATTCACTAATTCGTTCTTTCTTTTTCTAGGCTCAAGAGTAACATTTTACAACTCCCTAGTTTTCAATGGCCAAACTAGAACCAAACCCTTTTTTACAAATGATAAGAATGTAAACAAGAACCTCTCAAGGAAGGTGTTTACACAATTAAGCTCACTAAAACACTTATGTACAAGAGAAAAGAAAAAAGGGAGAATAAAATAGCTTTTATTTTGATGTGAATTGCTTGGATAGGTGTTGCAAACTTCTTCAAGTGTCCTCAATTTGTTTTTATATGTTGGAATGAGTTACTAGCCGTTTCTAACCGTTGGGATGTTTTGCAGCCTTTGGAAGCCTTAATTTTGAGCATTAAATTCTCACCTACAACTTTGGTATCGAGACCAGGAAGTTGGTATCGAGATCGAGCATAAAAACATTTAAAATATATCCATTGAAACCCAAAGTATCAAAACTACAAGGAAAGTTTTGAAACTCTTGTTAAAGTTTTGAAACTCTTGTGAAGTTTTGAAACTCTTGTGAAGTTTTGAAACTCTAAAGTCTACTAGAATTTCAGTCTCGAGACTGCCATGTTGGTCTCGAGACTGACAAGGGTGTTTGGCTAATTTCAAGAGTTTTGAGCTTTAAAACAGTACTTAATAGTTTGACAAAGTTAGAAACCATTTAAAACAATTTTTTTCAAATTTATTTAGACTTTGAATTATTTTTGAAAACTTTGAATAAATTCAATTTAGTCCAACAAACATTTTGCCCTAATTTGTTATATAAAAATATAGATTCAACAAAAGGAAATGTTGTTCTCCTCAGAGAATTTTAATAGGTCAATTATTTAATATATCATTCAGTTAAAACTTTTAATAAATTAAAAACATTATTTGTAAAAATAAAAAACAAAACTTCACTAATATTGATACCCTTCATAATTATCATTTGATTAATGAAAATTGAATAAATTTTCTTTTAGTTTATTTATTTTTCGGCGTTAAGTTAAATTGATATTTTTATTACGAACGCCGATATGTGTATGGGTCAAGCTTCTAACACAATTACAAAATACAATGTAAAAAACATTACTACAGAGTTTATAAAAAACATTAGAAACAAAATTAAAGTAAAGAGAAAGTAGGATATTTAAAACATGGTTAACCTTACATGAACCAACAATTTCAATAAAAAAGAAATAATTATTATATTTTAAAGATTTAGAATTCGAATACATCATCTGCATTAGTTAGACTTAGATTTAGACTCTAAACTTAAAGATTTAAATTAAATCCATTTGGGAGCAGGGGCGGAAGCATATGGCCCCCATAGGAACCAATGTATACACATTTTTAGATTATATATTAATATAGTTCAATATATTAAAGGAAGAAGAAAAATAAGAAATTTTGCATACCCATTATATTGAAAAATAGATTATTAAAATTTTGAACATCATTTTTTAATTTCTAGATCCGTCATTGTCTGGGAGTTTAGATAAAATTATTAAATATTAAATAAAACTATTATTCTATTTTTTAAAATTAAAATTATGAGTGGATTTAAGATAATTTATGGATAAATTTATGGTTAAGGAAAATTCGGTAAACTTGACTAGACCGGTCGAATCTAATCAATTAGTTTTTCAGTTTGGTATAATGGGTTATATCAATTTAATTTCAGTTTTAAAATTTAAATTCGTTTTAACTAATAAAAGAGACTTTAATTTATTATATATATATATATATTTAAACATGAAAATACATAATTATATGAGTCCCAAGCAAATTAAAAAAGACACGAGAACGACTCGATTGTAGAATGTAGATGTTGGAAAAATAGATGATTATCCCTTATCATTCTAAATTATTATCCAGATAAAAAATAATATAAAATAATTTCTGATTAGTTATTATTAAATAATCTTTTTCGTATAAGGACTCAAAAACTAAATCCATCCATTTTTTATTATTATTTAGAGGTCAAACCAAACAAAAATACATAAATATATTTAAAAGTTCAGATAAAATTATCAAATCTCAAGTAAAGTTATTATAGTAAAGTAAAATTATGAGTAATTTTTCAAAATAATTTATGGATAAGTTTAAGTGTTAACAAAATTCGGAAGGAAGATTAAATTAATCAAAACAATTCAATTTAGTAGAAACCTTTTCTCAATATATATATATATATATATATATAAATTATTTAAGAACTAAAACCTCATCGAAATTCTAAATATTTAATTGTTTAAAGATTTAAGCAAACAAAATATATAAATCTCTCTTAAAGTAACAGAACTACTTAGCTTTTTTGTTTCGGGATTTCTGTACCCCAAATTTTAATCTCGTGAATCGATTCATCATTCGATTGATTCGGCATGAACAAATCTTCTGAATATTATGATCAAGTTGAAGCTTCAAATCTTTCCCCTGATAATCTCGATGGAAGCTCTTATTATTCGAATGAACTCTGTTTCAATACTCGAGATGGTGAAGTTATTGTCATCGAACAAGAAGATTTGTTAAAAGAGACTGGAGATTATGATCAAGTTCACGATTCAAATCATCCCACCCACAATCTCGATGAAGACAACGCCGTCGAACAAGATGATCCTTCGGAAGAAGTCGACGATTATTATGAGTCTCTGTTAGAAGAGTTTGAAGATGATGATGAAGAAGATTACTACAATCATCAATCTCAAACAGACTCTCCATTGTTCGAAGGAGACTATCGATGCCTCCCTCTTTCTTCCTGCAACAAAACACATCTAGATCTGGGTAATAAGATAATCATGCCGGAGGATTCTCTCAGTTCCATCATAGAAAATCAAGTCCCCATGCCTTTGCAATTCGAGATTCGTAACTTATCTGCAGGGAAAGTTTCCCATTGTGGGGTTTTCGAGTTCACCGGCCATGGCGATGATGTCGTGCTCATGCCGGATTGGATGATGGAGAACATGCAGATAGAAGAGGGAGATTACATGTACATGAAGAACAAGATGCTGGAGAAGGCGACATACATCAAGCTTCAACCGCACAGCAATGAATTCCTGGAGATCTCGAATCCGAAAGCTGTGCTAGAAGAGAACCTGCAACAATTCTCTTGCCTGACAAAGGGTGATACTGTAAGGATCAGCCATGGAGTAAGATGCTTTACATAGACATAGTGGAAACGAAGCCGGCCGATGCTATTAGCCTCATTGATACAGATTGTGAAGTCGATTTTGCTCCTCCTTTGGATTACAAGGAGCCTGTAAATCCTACTCCTATGGAATCTTCTTTGAACAAAGAGCAAGAGGAAGAAGATACTGAGAAATCCAAGTTCAAACCTTTCACTGGTTTAGCTAGAAATTGGGTGAAAATCCATATTCGAATTTAGGCTCCTTGCCTGACAAGCAACCATCAACTACCCAATCTGATGAAGAAAAAATGGCCGGTAAAACTGAGTTCAAACCTTTCACGGGTTCGGCTAGAAAATTGGGTGAGAACCTCGTTCCGATTTAGGTTCCTTGCTCCACAAGCAACCACCACCTACCCAATCTGATGAAGAACCAACCAAGAACCCCAAGTCCGAACCTTTTACGTGTTTAGCAAGAAAATTGATTGAAGAAACTCATTCAGACTTGGGTTCTTTGCCTAACAGGCATATGTCAGATACTGCCCTGGATCAATCTGATTTAAAGAAAGAAGAAGAGAAAGAAGCAACTGATACACCCAAATTCAAACCTTTCATGGGTTTGGCTAGAAAATTGGATGAAGAAGCTGAATCGGACCCAGATCGTAGCTGCAGTCCTGACCGAAGAGAAAGGAGGCTGTGCACAATGGCCGGTTGATCCATCAAAAGATTTTTCCTTAGTTTTTAGCTTTTCCGTCTACAGATTTTCAAGGTTGTTTTCGTTTAATTTTCTTTTTCTTTTAGTTTGTTTAAGATTCTAATTTGTTATGTTTTGTTTAGGATTTATGGTTACTCTTTTATAAATGTTTTATTTAATATTTCAAACCATTAGCATGCAGGAGATCCAATTATCCTTTGGTAATTATTCGGACGTGTTAAGTGATTCTCTCTCTCTCTCTCTATATATATTACGATTATACGAATCAATTATAACATTTATTTTTTTATAATTTTCATATTAATTTTATTATATTTTTTAATTTCTAATAATTTATTCAACTTGTATTAATGTTTAATTTTTGAAAATAGAACTTAAGTTTATTACTTTTTTTTTAATTTTATGATATTTTTTTAAAAAATAGATTTTTAAGATTCTTAAATCAATTTTAAAGTAAATTTTAAAAAATTAGAACGGACATTTAAACTTGGCAAATTTACCCGTATCCAATTACCCGAACCAATTTACCCAAATCGAGACTCGATATATAACCCAAAATTAACCTGAAACCTAAAATAAATCGAACCGAACTGAAACTAACCCGAATTATAGTTTAACCGAGACCAACCAGAATCGAAATCAACCCAAACAGAAAATAACTCAAACTTAAAGCAACCCGAATTTAATTTACCTATACCCGATCCGAACCAAACTTTGACCCGATTTTAACATGATAACTGAGTCTTAATAAACAAATAATTTATTATTATTATTACTATTATCATATATTTTTAGTAATTAGATAAATAGTAGAATGATATATAATTTATTCTCATTTTATATAATACAATTAGGTAATCACCATCTTTAATAATTTTTTTTTAATTTGGGTTGAGAATTTAATACGTAATGTGTTATTACTTTTTAGTAAAATAATATAAACAATTAAATTAAATTAAATTAAATTAATATATATATTATGTATTTTTTAAATATGATAAATGATAATCGATTATAGTAAAAGCAAAAAAAATGTTGAGGATTAATACTACAATCAATCCTAAAATGTATTATGATTTATAAAGTTGTTTTTATACTTCCAAATATTCTAATTTGACATTCAATTTTAGATTTTAAAGATTTATTAATTCTATTCATTCAAACTATAACTTTTAGCTTTGAATTTGGGAACTGAAGATATATAATCACATAAATTTTCTAAATTAGAAGTTATAAAAGAGCAACACCGATGATTAAGACATAAAGGGTGACGACGGTTGATCCAAACCGAAACAATTTGAATTAACTCAAAAATCTAAAGGTTGATCCGAACCTAAACCAACCCGAATTGACTTGAAAATTTAAAGGTTGATCCGAACCGAAATCAACCTAAATTGACCTGAAAATCTAAAGCCTTACCAGAACCTAAACCAACCGATCCGATATTGACCCGAACCGAAAACCAATCGACTCGATTTGACCCTACTAGGTACCTGACTCGAACTTAATTTCCATATACCCGAACTTAACCCGAACCCGATCTGACATGAACCGAACGAAATTGGATCCAAACCGATGCAGTTCTAACCCGAAATAACCCGATCCGAAATGACTCGACTCGAACCTGATCCGAATGACCCGATTACAACCTCTATGGACATTGATCGAGTTTTGACAAATCTAATTTTAACTTCAGAATTTTTATTCTTGCATCCGAACATGATCTGGTCCAACATATAACCCGCCTTAGACTTTAGAAATGAGGTTTAACCTGAATGGTATAGTAAACAGAGGGATTTGAGGGTATAATATGGATAAAAATATGAATAAAAACGGAGATACTTTTCTTCATTATGGTGATAATATAATATATATTATATTTGTTTGAGAATTGGTTTTTTGATTCACATCTAAGTCTCAGTATTAGAGAGTTTATAGAAAATATTATTCATAAAAGAGATTAGGCTATTAAAACATGGGCTAGGCTTAAATTTAGGCTATAAACTTAAAAGATTTAAATTGAATCAATTGGAAGTTTAGATAAAATTATTAAATTTTAAATAAAACTATTATAATATTTGTATAATTAAAATTATGAGTTGTTTTTAAGATAAATTATGGATAAATTTAAGTGGAAGCAAAATTCGGTAGAAATTACTAAACCGATCAAATTAATCAATTAATTATTCAATTTGGTATAGTCGATTTTATGAATTTAATTTTAAATTCGTTTTCACTGATAAAATAGATTTTTTTTACACTTGATAAAATAGACTTTAGTGTACTATTAAATACATATTTAAACATAAACTAAATATTTTAATAAAATATTATATGGTTAGAGATAGATATTTTACTCAAATTCGACTAGTTTTAATTTGATTCGACGAAATTCGATTTGATCAGATTGGATCAATTTTTTATTTTGAAAATTTAATCAATTTTGTTCAATTCTTTTAAAGGTGGATTCGAGTCAAATTAAAGTTTAAGATGAAAAAAATTGATAGGATCTGAATTTAGGCTATTTTAATAAGCATAGCTAGAATCCTAAATGAAAATTCTCTATGGAATTTTCTCCCATTGGCGCCCCTTCCTCCCCCTTCATTGGAATTCTATTCTTGCGCCGGAGGCAAGGATGAGATTTTCTATAGTCATCGTTACCACTCTCGTGGTTTTTCGATGCAACGCAATTGGTAATTTGGTATAGATCGTGGATTATGGTTTGCTTTGAGTTTAGGTTCTGGTGTTTTGTTTCTGGCGGCGCATCCCGATTATACGTGATGACGATTGAGTTTATCGTCGCCACAGTGACGATCACATTCGACGCCGGGCTTTCTATTCAGGTTTTTCTTTGTAGTATATCTCGCTTAATAAGGTTTTGCAGGTTTCGGTCTCTGGTTATTTTCAATCCCCTACCTATTTGATCGATGTGATTGACAAGAAAGGTTTAAAAACCTATCGCCATGGATGAATTCGAGATAACATGATCAGGCGCCCATTCTGGATATGATCATCAATGAAACTTTGGCGAGTGGATATTCTGGCTATGGCTGGTAAGTACATTTTAGATCTCTTTTTTGTTTCATTAAATGTCAGTTTTTCCATTCCTAGCAGAGATTTAAATAGCGTTTGCGGTCGTGTTTTCGGTTGTGTTACGTTTATCGCGGTTGCGGATGGATGTCATCGCGGTCACTGCTGGTGTCACAATCCTGAATTTTTTTAAAATTCGTACAATTTATCCTAAATCATAATAATTATAATTATAATTTTAAAGAGTCATTTTTAACGATTTTTAGAATGTTTTCTAAATGAAAATAACATATATATATATATATATATATATATATATATATAATATAGTTTAATAAAATATTAAACTCAATGATAGGATAAAATAATTAATTAATAATAACATTGTGAATACATTATTATTTTTTAAAAAATAAGAATATCAACATAGGAAAAACTCTAAAAAAATAAAATGGATAAAAATAAATTACTGGTCATTATTCACTTACCAAAATCAACATATTATAACTTAGAACTCATAAAATTAAAAATAATCTATTATTTATTTAAAAAAACGCATATCATAAGTAAAACAATATAAAATTCCAAAAATAATTAACTTTGTAGGTCTGTTTTGGTTCAAACACAAAACATTAAGAGTAAAAATTAGTTAACTTATTATTGGGTTTGTTTTGGTCTAAACCTAAAAAATTAAAATAAAATAATTATTTAAAACATAAAATATAACTAAAAAATTATTAAATCACTTCTTTTGTATGGTGCATGAGTGAGAGGGGAGGCAGAAACGAAGAGTAAAATTTGTGAAAAATAGAGGTTTTTTGGGTTAAAGTTCGTCCCTTTATTCTTTATTTTATGTAAATTTAATTGCTAGCTTGATTCCTACCAAAAATATCCAAAAGACCTTATTTTGCTTTTGCATGTTACACCAAAAGAAAAGCAAGAAGAAAGATAAAATAATCAGGTACTTCTCCACAAAATGAGAGACTTTTTCTGATTTTGAGTTTGGACAATGCAATTTGAGAGAAAATCTTAAGTTTTATTTTGAGTTCGCTGTTGACTTGATGTAATGGAAAATAATGGAAATAACGGGTTGTTATCGTCGTGATCGACTGTTACCTGTTAAGTTGCGGCCCTTATTGGTGTGATTTCCGCGTCACACAGTTTTTTTGAACAATACACTACAAGAAAATTTTCAACAGAAATTCACTCTTCCAAATCTTCTCTGCAGGACCACGCCAACAAAACCACTCTTCTAAATCTTCTCTGCACTACCACACCAACAGTCACACCAGAATCTTTGTTGAAGGTAAATGTGTTAGTTTTTTTTTTATTTCTATTATATATTTCTTATATTATTTTTCTTACAATTTTTTGTGTGTAGAATTTTAATATTTTATGGTGAATGAGTTTTGAAGGTGTAAATTGATTCATGTAAGTATTTCTTTTTTTATTTTATATTTCTTAAATATTTAAATTTTTTTCATTTATATGTCCGCTTGAAATTGTAATATACTGATTTATGGATTTATACTTTATTTTTGTATTTATATGCATTTTTTTTATTTGATATTGTAATTTTAGATTGGAGAATGTTGTTTATCTAAATGATTGAGATATTTACTTTCATAACTTATATATAGCATACTTAATCATCTTGTTATAAAAAATAAAAATTTTCTCTACAAAGGTTATTGCTTTGCATAAGCTCAATGATAATATATATAGTGTAAATTGATTTTTTTATAGTTAATGCAAGTTGCTTTTGATTAATTAATAAACTTCTTTGTAATGATATTGATAACATAGCTATTATTTTTTACATAAAAAGAAAAAGAATATTCTGAATTTTTATTTTTGGTGTTTTTTTGCATAACTCTGAAATTTTCTACTGAATTTGTGAGCTGAGGTAATTTTTATTTATTTTTTACAACATAATGCTATCAATTTATTAGTATTAAACTTTTAATAAA